TTCTGCTGTGCATAACTCGCTATGAGTCAGTACTGACTTGATGACACCTAACAACAACAGCAAAAAAAAGTCCATGGAAAAATACCATTATCTTTAATTCCACTTTTCCACAAGCTTTTTGAAGCCTTTACATACATGAGAGCTCAGATATACAGAGCTCTTTCACAATGAACATAACAGCCTTTATCACATTTTAAATGATGTCATCAGGCAATATGGCAGACAATCTGGCACACACTAGTAGGGGTTCATGTTGTTGTGGTTGCTAACTACTATCTAGTTGGTGCCCCAATCACACAGATCCCATCCACGACTAAAGGAAATTCTACCCACTCGTGCACCATCCAAACGACTGGCTAGCGCTCAAACTGCTGTGATCCACTGGGTTTTCATTAGCCAACTCTCAGAAGTAGAGCAGGTGGCTGTGCTTTCTAATCTCAGTTTGGAAGATTTCTGAAACGTGCACAGCATCACAGCCACATGCAAGCCTCCAATGACAGTCACTAGTGGGCTGTGAGGTTCGCTGTCTGCCCGGTCTCCCACACAGGAGGTGAGAATTGGCGTTGCACCCAAAGAACCATTTAGAAAAGAGTTTCCTTCTAATTTCTCGCATTCCTTTATATTCAGCAGCACACTTCCACTACCAGTACTCATACAGTATTTTCTAATGTTTTAAAGAATACAGTAGTTAGCATACAACTATGATTGACAGAGACAGTATGTATGATGTGTCCCAGCACCAGTCGGGGACAAACATCTCCGCTAGCATTAATAGCCCCCTTGTTTCAGAGTCCCCATGGAGGCGAGTGTTGAGGTGAAGTTCAACTTGGGGCGGGACAGAAGTTTGTGAGGCTTCCTTAAACTTGCCTTTGTGATGTAATGGTTTGAATGAATTAAAATAACGTTCTTACAAAAAAATCTCATAACAAAGCAACTCGTCTATATTATTATTTTTGTTTTGCATCCCCCAGATATACATTCAGCTAATATTTAAAGAGATACATTGCAAATAAACCCATAAGAAAAAGAAAAAAACCCTCATAGATTTATTATATGTACCTTATATTTTATGGTATTATGCTATATAATTCATAGTCTGAAAGAAAATGTTAATTAAGACAACATAAGGAAAGTACTTATTTACCTTAGGAAAGGACAGACTATCAGCTGAGAAACAGCAGTAACACGTTTCAATAAAGATCACATTCTGGATCTTAGAATACTTAATTTTTGCATTGTAAAAAAGTTCTGCTACGTCACCCTTCATTTCAAGAACTGACGTCTTTTAACCCAGACTCGCAGTCATTTACCTTGAAGCAGCCTTCCTCAGAAGCTTTTGAATCTCACTCGGCTTACAGGTGTGCTCCTTATGGACGACCACAAAGGCACTGCAGCCATCTGGTGGTGGCTCTTCAGCTGCAATCTAGGAGTCCAAAGATGATATTTAGCTGCAGGAGTTGATAATTACAGTATCAATTAAAAAACTCACATGTTCCTTTGATTAAAATAATTCATCAAATACTATCAAATTATAGCTCTAATCAAAGTGAAAAAATGCCTCTATGAAGGCAAATATAAATATCAACTTGATACTAAATAATAAATGCTTCAAATTTATAAAAAATTCTATTATTACATTAAAAATTTAATTGTAGTAAATTTCTCATAATTTTTTATCCTGTATGACTTAGTACATAATGTATGATAATATTAAAGTTACATTGTGATCAATGATAATATGATCAATGATATGCTATGGAAGGAGGTATTAAAAATGTACAGATCCTTTTGAACCAGATGTTAACATTAAAATAGGCTTATGGCTGTTACTAGCATACCTCTGCCAAATACAGTTTTGCATACCTGTTGAAACATCTGAATAGTTGGAGAGTATGCCCTTATAGAGAAAGCAAACTTCAAGAGATTGATGTGCAAATTGTCAAGGAATTGTCCAGCTTTCTTAAGGATTAAATTGTAATAAGAGTAATCTGATTCTACAAAAAAAAAGTCAAAAGAAAAGGATGTTAGTATTTTTATTCCAACACATGGGCACATAGCCTTCTATAAAACTAACATAAGTCATAGAATTATATTTTTAAGTTTGGTTATGGATGGTGTTAAACATAAATAGAAAATCAACCTTTTTATTACATGGTTCATTTTGGATCTCCCAGGGATATCCAAAAACAAGAAGAAGTGAAAAAAATGTTGCCATTAAAATCTGAATGATGCCAATCTATCAGATGAACACACTCTAAGATTATGGGTTTATAACATGAGGATAAGATACAGATATAAGTGCAGTCAAGTCAGTGCTTATCCTACAGTGCCACACCAGTTATGTGGTTGCTGTTCTTAGGTGCCACCGAGTCGGTACTGACTCATAGCGACCCTATACACAGCAGAAACACTGCCTGATCCTGGGCCAACTCACTATTGTTGCCACACTTGAGTCCATTGATGTTGCAACATGGCCAGTCCATCTCACTAGAGGTCTTCCTCTTTTTCTCTGACCATCCACCTTACCAAACATGATATCCTTCTCCAGTGACTGGTGCCTCCTGACAATATGTCTGAAGTATGAAAGACGAAGTTTGGCCATCTTGGCCTCCAAAGAGCACTGTGGCTGCACTTCTTCCAAAACAAATCTATTGGTTCTTTTGGCAGCCCATGACACTTTCAGTATTCTCCTCCAACACCATCACTCAAAAGCATCAATTCTTCTATGGTCTTCCTTATTCACTGTCCAGCTTTCGCATGCATATGAGGTTATTGAA